CTTGCCGACACGGCTTTCTTCCAAGCTGTTCAGGAAGGGATGGTCTAGGAGATCATCCCCGCATGGGTCGCGTTGCAATTTCCACGATTACCAGACATCTTGCAACAGGTTAGAAATATATCCCTCAACCGCGGTGAGAGCGAGTTGCAGATGTTGCAACGGCTGCACTCCATGTGCGTTGAGCGCACGTCAAAAGGGGAATTGGTGAATCTCGAGGACGTGAAGAGGCGGGGTTTGGCAAGCAAGCCAGCTTTTGCTACAAGCTTGCCAGACATGTGGACCTTTGTCATAAGGTACTCAAGAGGTACCAAAGCAAATATGATGCAAGAAACCCAGCAGTTCGTGATGACGAACACCAAATCAATTCAGTTAGGCGCTCCTTTGTGGAAGGCATTGGTCGAGGATTCCAAGATTGCCTCCAACCCGCTTGTGAGATGGCGACATGCCGCCAGGCTATTTCCACGGGCTGAAAGCATCGAATGTGAAAAGGTCATTCAGCAAGGAGATGGTGCACAGGGTGTCAGAAGTCAATGCCCTCATGTTGGAAGTCAGGCTGCTCCGCAAGAACTTTAGAGACTCCTATGTGTACGACCAGAAGTGCTGCACAGCAATCGGTTTTTTTTAAATGGCCGTTGTCCAATTTGTCCTCGGTCTCAAGTAACCAGATCAAAAGGTGTATAGGAGCACCGATGCCATTACGAACGATATCATCAAGCTCCTCAGAACCTTAACTGGCCATGAGATTGCAAATCGATGGTCCGCGGAGGATTTGGATAATGCTTTGGAGTCTATAACTTTTCTGCTTACATGAATTTTCATGGATATTTCAAACATGTGCATTCACGCATCGTCACGTAATATATAGACAACAGATCCAGGTAGCTTCCAGCCCCAACCAGCCGACAATGAGTCTCCGTGAGCTTGGAGAAGATGGGCAACTCATAGACCCTACAGTGGTGGTGAAAGAAGCTGGTTAGGCTGTAGGGCAATCTTGCAGACGAGCGAAAGACAAGCTTACGGGCATCATTGCAGAGATCACCCATGAGATTGTCAAGGTTAATTGTGGCAAAGGCCTACTGAGCAAGGTGCCTTTGTCTAAGTTTAAAACCGGCTTGTAGCAACATTTCACTCCAAAGAATTTGCCTTCCGTAATTGACTTCAAAGAAGAATGGCTGCCACACCAGTCACTTGATTTTCAATTGCACCGATTGAAAGCCATGATCATGGAAGAGCTCTTTGATCTATCCGAATCTCAGACTTCGAAAAGCTCCATAAAGAATTTGCAGATCCAAACAAAGCCATCGAAGGCACTGTTGAAGGCACTGTTGGCAAAGGAGAAGATTTTGACCAAGAAGCTAATCCTTGTGCCATCGACTGTCAAGATCCAAGCCAAGCACAAGCATAACAAGAAAGAGACCTATGAAGTGCTCCAAACCGTGATGCCATCCAGTCTCCTCCCTCTTTAGCTTACCAAGGCTGGGTAAGGCGAAGCTTCTTGTCGGCCGGCGCCTTGTCAGCAAAGGAAGGTTTCTGCTTAGAAATCTGCTGGATCTCTTCGTCCAAGCTCATGGCGGCCTCCAACATTTTCGGAAGTACGAGGTAGTTGAGCTTAGTCATGTCAACTTCGACCCGACACTTCGAGTCGAATTTCTCAAACCTGTCCTTGCTAAGGTCGTCTACCGGCTCGTTTTGCTCTCTAGGAATCCAAACCAGGTTAAGGTCCAAGTCATAAAGTTCAAGCTGCTTAGAAAGTTCCATGAGCACCAACGACGCTGGGAACTTAGTCGTGAGATATTTGTCCAACAAATAGGCGTTCGAGATGTTGTCTATGAACCCCGTTACCGCCACTCTGCCAGCTCCTCTGCGCCACTTTCCTATTGGACCAAAAACTATGACCGCCAACGTGACAGCCAGGAGCTCGGCGCTGGCGATCGTCTTGAAGGGCTCCCCCTTAACGCGCAAGTAAGGAGCCGTAGTCTTATTCAACTTCACTGAAAACCATCATGCCCTCAAAGGGTCAGTGGTGTGGAAAGTTTCCCAGCCCCCAACGACCACACCCTCCAGGTCGGCCATAGCGTCCACACGGAACAACTCGCCTAACACCGACGGCCACGAGGACAACGGTCTCATGGGCCGATCACCAATGGATTCCTCGAAAAACTTAATGGCCAACTTGGTTGAGAGGTGCAGCTCGAAAAACGATCCTCCCCGCGCCCGCGATGAGGATGCATAGAGAGGCGCCAAGAACGGTCTTGCCCTTTTTGCAATGCCGGCCAGGAAACCAGCCGTCCAAGACCTTGAAGTCTCGGCCCAACATGTGCCCCTAGCAAACCGCCCATTTGGACCACTCCTTCAACCAACTCATCTTTCTTTCGCTGATGCCTAACTTCCAATTGGTGATGTCCACCGTATAACCTATCCACTCCACCTTAGTCCCTCCCCTGGCCTTTCCCAGGACAGTGGGACCTCCAAGATCTCGAGATAGTTCTCGAGATAAAAGAGCAGGGCCAGGAGAACCTTCTGGTAGGCCTCACCGCTCGTGAAGACCGAGCCGTCATCGGCAAAAAGGAGGTAGAAGGGGGAGTTGGCGCGAATCACCTTGCGTAAGAACCTAAAGATGACCCCAGCCACGCGGCCCCACCAAAAGGCGGCTGTGGCCACCCCGAACGTGCCCCGGCAGTTGACGTAAACCTCCTGCTCATCCACCTGGTGCAAAGTGCGCCTCTTCGTGCGCCCAACCACGGACAAGATGTTTGTCCAAATCTCCTCACTGTCCATGAGCCCGTCCTCCTGCTCCTCCTCTGAGAAGAGCTCCGTTGGCGAATCCCCCAACGGCGGTGGAGTCGATCGGATCACCTCCATCCCCTCATTCTCCGACAGCGGTTGGAGCCTTGGCCTCTCCTCCCAACTGCCCCAACCGGGCGGCGCCAGCCGTCTTGCCTCCTCATTGGCCTCTGATGCTGTCTTGTGGTGGACTCACTGAAGCCACAGGGCGAAGGTATTGAGGATGCCCTGGTCGTCGACGACATCCTTCACCCCGTATTGCTCCCGGATGTAGCCAGCGATCTTCCTCTGTGCTGCAAAGATCAGCTGCCTCGTCGTGGTGACGTAGTCCTCGTCCACCGAGGGGGACCACCGACCCCACCGCTTTCTGGTCTCCTTGTCAATCCCGCAGGCAGATGCCCAGCTGATGATTGTCACTCGCTCGGAGTGCTCTGACCAGAACGAGCTCGACGCTGGTTCCATCAGCCGCTCATAGTTCCCGAACTCATTCTTCCTCTGCGCCAAGAGCTCCGTGAAGAGCGTCCGTAAGAACACCATGGCGTCAGGGTACCTCATCATAGTCTTCCGAAAGGACTGAAGGTCCACCGTGGGCAGACACATATGAGGAAGTCCCTTGCCGCGAACCTCTGGTCGTCGTCCATGCTCTTGTAGATGCGCAGGCCCTCCACCAACCAGCCTCGGTAAGAGAGCCAAGCTTGAGAGTAAATGAACAGGTGAACCACTTCCACTTTGCGTCCTGCCCCCGTGGTTTTGGTGCGCATGATCTGAGCTTCCAGTCCGTGGGGCTCCTCGTACTTGATCGTTGAGGGAGGGATGGCCTCGGTGTCGTGACTCCTGAGGGCACCCCAACGTTTTATCAACTTATACCATGCCATGACCCTCTTGAACTTCTCCTTGTCCTTGTCCATGATGATGTGTTCGAGCGCCAACACCATCTCCACCGTCCACCTGGCAGCCTTGGTCTTGGTCTTGGACTGCCAAACATCGGATCGTTCGATCTCCATCAAAAAATGCTGGAGGGCCACGCTTCCCGAGATTCTCCTATCTGGCGGTACCTCGGCCGAAGTTTCGAGAAACACGAGGGCCTTGAACAAAGAGCTCGGCGCAGATTTGCCGCAAGGGCGAGATCTACTGCAATTTATAATAGGACAGCGCCGCAGCCGACCACAGCCGACCACGCAACCACCAGACCCTCTAAGTGGTCTCTGTGTGTGTTGTCTCGGTGTGTGTTGTCTCTGTGTGTGTTGTCTCGGTGTGCGTTGTCTCGGTGTGTGTTGTCTCTTGGAGGAGCGGGAGGCGGGAGGCGGGCAGCGGGAGAAGCGGGATGAGACATAGAAAAGAAGAACCCCACACTAAGATGTGGGGAAAAACGAAAATGTTTTCAGAGGCCTGTCCTCTGTGGGAGGGTTCAGTCAAGACTCTCTGAACTATGTTTTTGTTTTTTGATTTGTTGTTTTCATGTTCTTGTTTTATTTGGACATATTTTGTCAATTTGTCCGAAACTCCTTCTGGATGCAACTGTTGTACAGCCGTTTTTTGGCAGCGCAGTTTTCTTGACAAATGTTGACTCAAAAGAACACAATTTTGCAAGAAAACTGCAATGCCAGGAGCGCCCGTTATGTTAAAATATTGAAACGAAAAAACAAATGTAATCCTTACTCCTCCGTGTACTTCTTCAAAACATTTTTAAAGCTCTTACCAACCCAAACATGTTTTCAAATATTCAAAGACCGACCGAACAAAATAGAAAAAGTAAAAATATAATATATATATATATATATATCAAATTTAAAAACCTATGAAAGATAAATATATACCAAAAATTAAAAAATCTCGAAACATCAAAAAATAGCAAATATGAAGAATTTACATCAGTTTGTTAGTATATAAAATCATCCAGTATTATCGAAAGACGTTGTACATTTATATCAATATCCACATCCATTAACTCACCAATTTACATTAGTTTCCATCACATCAGTTCAATTGCTTCCGATCAAGTCAAAAACTGTTAATATATGATTGTCAACAAATCAATCGACAATCCTAGAAATATATTTTTTAGACTTTCAGAAAAACTGTTTAGTTTATGTTTGTCAATATCACTCTAAATACTTATATGTATACATGAAGAAGAACATAAATAGTATAGAGTCCTATACATTTAGGTCTATATGCGTTTATTTTAGAATTATTGGCTTCCAATTTTGATACATTTTTCGACCGACTCAAATCCAATATTCCAGATTCAGAAAGAGGATCTCCCATTGAGATTTGAGAACCATCTGGCACCAAAAGGCGTTCGAGCCTAGTACATCAATGCAATCACGCAAAACCGGCATTGAAGGTGCAAAAGCCAAAGCCATACAAGCGAACTCTCAGATTGGGGCTCGCTAGCTTGCGTTTGACTACCACTGGCACCTCACGCTGCAAAAACTCTTCCGCGCGCAGCACATCTTGCCACTCAAGTTACGGAACGCCTTCAGCCCCCACAAGTAGCGACGCAGTGCCTCTTGCTGAACGTGATGGTCTTGCAGCAAGCGCTGCACGTGTCACATCGCTTGATGCTTGCTTATCGTTGACCTGGCCTCGTGCAAAGACTTCGTCTTCACGCCCAAGTTTCAGAAAATTGTCCGTCACCCAAAGCTGGAAAGCGTTCATCACGGCCTTCCGGCGGCACTTCTATAGAAAAGAACCGCAAGTTTGCAAAGCATCTGTGCGCTGCCACCCAGGCAAGCCAAGGAGGCCACAGGCGTGACAATCATCACGACTAGCAGTTTCAGCCTGAGTAAGCTTTGGGCACTTTCGGCGAGTAAAAGAACATCACGCTCTTCGAACTTGAGCCTGTTCAGTTTTTTGACTCAACGCAGCGTTGACCAAAAACTCCTTCGAGGCCGCGCGGGGTTGGTGATAAAAAGCGGAACAGCTCAAATTTTGCGTGTAATAAGTTTGAAGCGCTGCATTGAGCATCTTAAATCAAAACTAGGTGTCCCGCAAGGGGTTCATGAAAGGTTTGAGGCACTCTCGCGCTGCGAGGGTCAAAGGCTTTGCCAGCAAAACCATGAGAACTACCTTGGAGTTGGTTTCCACGCTTCGTCTGGCAAACATTGGTCAGCCACTGGGTTGGGCACCATGAAAAGCTTCATGAAAGTCACAATCGTGAGCCACATGCCAAGTTGTTTGGCGTACATTATCGCCTGCGCGCCAGAGAAAGCACATCAACGGCTTCCATGATTCTAACAAGAGGAACCTTTGAATATCTGGCCACCCGACAACCCTAATGCCGAAAACTCTGCAACCGCAAACGCGTTCTCACACACCCTGCTTTTTGGCTCTCCTTCCCCGACTCGCATCGGGTTGACGTTCAGGGGCGAGAAGTACGTTCTAGGGCGGCAATGGCCTTTTCCAGGTCGCTGAGTCCGACGCGGGCGCAGGAGCCACCACACGACCTTCTTCAGGAAACGCCGGCTTGTCGGCACTTATTGTGAGTTAATAAGAACCCTCCGCCGAGGACAGCTGCCAGCCCAAATACGCCATCTTGCGCCCAATCTGTAGCTTGTTCCACGAAAGTGGCGCGCCGAGGATTTGAGCCAAAGCTAACGCACGAGCGACCATGAAACGGTAGCCCTCCACCTGAACCCCAGCCAAGGACGCTCGTTCCGCTTAAAATGAAATGAAACAACTGCAGGAGGAGGGTCAATACCCCGACCACGAGGCCCCGAAAGTTATCAAGTACATTTATGTACTGATTTCCCTGGTCTCAGGCCTCTCTCCTCAGGCAACGTGGCAATGGACTTTTGGACTCAAAAGTGAGCAGTTGGCCCCGACCCAGCCCAATGTGAATGACGTTCCAGTGCCTCGCTGCAATTCTGTATTCCAGCTCGTTCCGCAAATTGCGGTGCAGGACAGGCGCCCAAGGCGCCCGAGTCCCCTGGCCGCACGACCGCGCCAAGCTTGCCGAGCACATCCGGCGCAAACGTTTTAGTTCTGCCAAGCCGCCAAGAACCAGAGCGCGCTTCCCTGACATATTCCGTTCCTTATAACCCCTGGTCAGCAGAAGCAAGGTTGCCGGTAAAAAGGGAAAGGTCTGCTTCACCGTCCTCGATCCGGACATGACTCGCGCAAAGACTTTGCAAACCCCAGACGCGGGGACGGGCGAGCGCACTCCTGTAGGTGAGCCTTCTTTGAAAACCTGCGTCCACATTGCAGGGCAGCGGCTAAACCCGTGTGATCAAAAGTGGAAGCAGCCCAACCGCGCACGGGTGCCTCAGCAAACGCAACCGCTCGCAAGTGTCTGCTGGCACTAGCGCGTCTTACACACGCCAAGCGGCCAAGCGGCCTCTCAACGCCGCAGGCGGAGGGGTTTGCCAGTCCAACGCGCTGGTCACGCCACCCCCATCTTTACGGTATGCAGCGCACTGCTCCGCAGTCGCGTCCGCAGCCACAAGGCTCGAGGCTTCACATGTTCGGCGTGGCCCCGCGCCCGCACTGCCCGCAAAACCACAGTGACTGGACGCCACTGCCAACTGTTTGCGTCTGCAGGTCGGCGCGCCGACACGTCAAGATCGAAGAATATCGCCACGCCTTTCCTGCCACGCGCGGTTTCTGTGAAGGCTTCCGGCCATTCAGCTGCCATAGTCCAGCACGAAGGCAAAAAGAACAACAAGTCAAAAATCGAAACCCAGGGTAAACTGCGCCAAATCCACGCGCCCGCGACCAAGTCACGCCCGACCGAATCCGACCGATCTGACCGGCGAAAGTGGTGAATTTTGCAAATCGGCCAAAACTCGCGCTACTTGGGCCACGCTACGTAACATAGGTAGATCCAAACCCGGCCCTACTTGGGCACAGCTGCGTCCACCTGCGTGGCAGCAATAGTAACTTCGATGTTGCGTATCGCGCGCAACATTCATTGTCATGCTTGGGCCGAGCTACGCAACGCATGTAGCTCCCACCTACACCGAGCCCTACTTGGGCTGAGCTACGCGAGCAAGTTCTGTGTCTGCCTTTCGCGCAAGAACCCTTTGCCCAAGTTGCAAGATTGCGGCGCTTTCTCAAGCCAGGGCGCCAGCAGCACCAACCACTTTGAAACAACCTGTTGCAGTTCTTGCTCGCCCCGTCCAGTCTGACGCTGGCGCGACCTGCAAGCGCTTGGATCTGCGGCCATTGCGCCCGCACATGGTGTCGGAGCATTGGATGGAGCTGAAGAAGGCCCGGCCCGCTACACAGTGAAATGCATCGCGACGCGTGGTTTGCATCCAGGGGGCCTTTGCAAGCCAGATGTAAAGGAAACAGCTGCGTTGCCTCTCTAAATGTAGGAGGGGGAACGGAGGTTCCACTTGCCCCAGCCGCTTGTACTGGCCTATCGGGTCCGGCCCGACGGGCGAGGGCCACACTCCCACATAGCAAAGCAAAGGCGAGTTCAATATCAACTCACGGCGTTGAACAAACCCAAAGGCGACAATGCTTCAAACCCTCACGACCTGAGGAGAACATATGTGCATGTGCGGTGCCCTGATCTAGAAAAAGTGGTTGCGCAACCGCTAGCTCAAACACACTGCGCTTCTGACCAATATGCTTTGCGTTCGCGCCCACGGGTTGTGGAAGGGCTGCTTGGCCGGACTGCAATCTCAGCATCGGTGGCATGGACTACTGGTGCATGAGTGCATGATAATTTGATGCTCCAAAGCACAAGGGATTCCTTTTCTGCTTCTTTCCACTTGCCCTGACTCTCTGCCAGGCAGAACGATGGCCTGGGGCCTGGGGTGCGTCTGCCAGCTTGTCTCTCACATCCTCGTTTGCATCACCCTTCTTGAGGTCCACGCCGGTGTTGTCATGCGATGCCCCTTTCACGGGGTCATCCTCGGGGCGTGCCACCACCATGGGGGTGCGGAGCAACATGTTCACCTGTTCCTTCCAAGTTCACATGGCAGCATAAATTAGCGCCGGACGAAATCTGTTATCATCTGTTATCTAGCCACGGCCTTAAGACATGGTCATTGCCGTGTGTGTGTGTTCCTGTTCTGCGCCCCATGCACCGGTTCAAGCTTCCGGCGCCAGGGGCAGTGAGACATGTGGTGGGAAGCCAAGCATCCCCGTTTACCCTGCTTCCTCTCTTCCACATACGGAGCGGCGCCCTTACATCGTTCTGACTACGTTGTATGGACTTGCTCTGTCCCCGTCATGTGTGCTCATGCAAATGTAACGCGACTGACGCTCAAGCGTCGGCTTGTCTGAGACGCTGTGGCGTGGTGGACAAACGGCAGGGCTACTCTCAACGCCAGGCAATGCGCGCTGTAGCTTTCTAAAGGGGTTAAGAAGACCCGCACGCCCTACGCCCAGCAAGGCAGACTGCAATGGTTCCGCAAAAGCTGTTAGACAGCCAAAGGCCAGCAGCAGCGCTTGCTATTGGAAACTACAACTTCTCTCAATTCAGCTGCGCACAAGGCCAACTGGTGTGAGCAACTCAAGCTGAGAAGGGCGACATACTCAGTGCTTGCGCCAGTTGCAACTGTAGCTAGCACGCCAGCGCGCTTCCTCAAGTAGTTGGTACATCAAAAGGGCATCGGTCCCCATCGGCTAATTATGTAGGTTTGATGCAGGTTTCTAGTATCCCAAGACCACCCTGTGACTACTTTTGAAATGATTCTGGCTGCATCCCCGCAGCCGGCTGTTGCTGTATGGTATGCTCTGCTGTCACGGATCACCCCGAGCTTCCTAAAACCACAGAGAAGGAAAGCGGTCTGGACATGGAAAGGTCTGTGCCAAGTTGCCCCTACATAGGCACGCCTTGGGCCTCAAGACTGATATTCCCTCGAACTGGCAAGTGTACCCGTGAGGCGCGTGGCGTGGCTCTTTTCTTCTCTGAGCTAGTGGCTAGCGGCAATGCTATGACTCTAGGCTCGAGTGGCTCCAAGAATCAGGGGTTTAATTTGCTGAAACGTATGGGACACTTACTTCCATCCGGTCCAACACTTCCATCCGGTCCAACAATCCACTGTTCAAGAGAAGGTCAAGACCCACCTCAACAAATGAACCGGGCAATCAAAACCCTTGAACTTGTGGATCTAAATGCACCGATAGGGCCCAAAACGGGGGCCCAAAACGGAGCTGAAGAAAGGGATCGCTTCGGCCTGGAACTCCCCGCCACGCCAGTAGCTACCTGTTCGAAAGTCCTGGCCCCGACGTTCACCTTCTTTTAAGCTCGGGGGGGGCAGGAAGAGGCTACTAGATACTACAAGCAACGCACTTAAGTCAACCCACGTGGTGTGAAGTCAACCCACGTCGCGTGAGGTCAACTCACTGCATGGGCACGAGGTTCAGCGAGAAGTCAACTCACGCGCGTGAAGCGACTCATTTTGGTCAAGCCACAACGGGCACACTTGAAAAATGAGCACGGCGTGAAAATGATATGTTCAAGGAAAACTGTGTGCACACTGTGTTGTGGCTGGCATTTTTGCCTTGGCCTTGCTTGCTAAGATGTTTCAAGCCCAAATCCACCAATGCACAACTTAGAGAACAGCTAGGTTGCAAGCGCACACACAAGTGACATGCAGCCCTCTGCGCGAGCCCCGTGCGACCCCGCGCGAGGTTCGCGCGAGCAGGACTCCTACTCCTCCTACAGCTTCCTACGGTCAACGAAAACACTTAGACCCAAACGCGAAAGTCCTTGCAAAGCAGCTGTGGCAAGCAAATCACACTGTGACACCAGCTGGGCCCGAAGATCCTTGCAGTTGTGGCATGGGCCCCAGGAGCTTTACATCAAAACTGTCACAAATCCCCTGTGGAAGCTGCCCTCCCCCAAAGAACAGGTTCATAAATACAAACGAGTGACAATCAGGCACACCATGGGCGCAACACACAACATGTGCTCTAGATCAATACAATCTATGCTTAGGCATCCCTGTGGAGTGCAGTTCTGCAAGGGCACACGGTTCCGAGTCGACTTTACACAAGCTGAGTCGACTTAACGCTAGTACCTAGTAGGATGCTACTACCTAGGACGCAGGATAGCTCACGCTCGCACTAATGATTTGGTCTAGATCTTCAGGGAAACTTAACGGGGGATGATCGGATAGGTGGTCGTAGCGTAAGTAGCTAGAAGCTAGAAGTAAGAGGTATAGTAATTATTAAGCTTACGTAGATGCTAGTAGCATGCTATGACAGCTATGATGGATGCAGGAATGCTCATGCTTGTATTCATGTGAGCCCTCCGTCCTCGGCACTTTCCAGAAGATTGTTAAGGGCATCTGCGACAACTCGTAGCAATAAGTACTCGACCAAAACCTGCCAAACAAAATACGGAGTACGCACTCTCATCAACAGTGTTTTCACTGTTTCCTTCAAGTCTGACTTGGCTGGTTGAGCACAGGCTGACCCCGAGCGTCGTGTCAAGCATTATGTTCAGCCAGTACCTGCCAATAATGTAAGGGCGCTGATGATGCCACCAATTCTATCATTATCGCTGCACACCCGAACCAACACAAATGAAATGCTTACTTGCGTGCGACAGGCACCATTCACACTCATCACCGTCACCCATCTGGCTCCCGAGTATTTCCGCACACCTAAGAACTCACACCAAGGCAGCTACAAAACCAGCTGCACATGACTCGTGCTGCAGCCAAGCTGCAGGAGATTTAGCACGTGAACCCATCCTGAGCGTGCACACTCTGGCTTACTGAGAAAGTTTGCTTAGTCAGCGCTGCAAGCCTGCTCCGATGAATTGCTTGGAGGAATCCAAGCCAAACTGGAACCAAGTTCTTTCCCCCTCACAGACCTGGCTGCAATCTCTCAGACTCTTGTGGATGATAGGTGGCCAGTGATATTGGCGTCTTCTGCCTTCTTCGCAACCAATGTGCCCACACAGCAGCCAAACAGCAAAAGCTGCACCTTGGTAAGAGCGAAGCTACAAACATGCGAACATTATCTTGGATGAAAGAGCTGCTTGAAAAGCAGAATAGGGAGCTCCCAAGAACCAAGACCCAAACCAGCAAACCTTGAAGGCCCGGAAGCACCACACACGGCTTCATACACTGCCGTGAGGATCATTGACATATATATATATACATATAATATAACATAATAATATAACATATGTATATATATATATACCATGCATATACACTGTACACAATTTGGCACTCGTACAAACATTATGTCAGCATGGATGGTTCTGCCGCGGGCGCCTTTAGTGGTCAAAGTCTTCCCCCGAAACCTTTGCTGTATACTGCGCTCAGCCTCCATTATTTTCTTGCCATGCGTGCCAGTGCACATGCTCAATAAAGCTCGGTGCTCGCTATGTATTACTTGTACTTCTGACAACAACTTCAAAACTTCTAAAGCTACTATTAATATAAGTCTGGTGTTCTGAATGTTGCACGCTGGCTTTGTCAAGTCTAGCAATAACTTATTTCACGCATGAAACCGAAGGCAACAAATGGTTGAGATGCATGGCTGGCAACCAGTTTCCACAGTCGACTTGGCTTCGATGCTCATCTCCTCACTTTTCCAGCTTGCCAAAGGCTAGGCTATGCCCAGACTCGTTCAGGAATGTGTCAGCTCTGGCATTTATGTACAAAGGTTGCTGCGCTCAATAGTCGTTGAAGAAGTTCCTATAAAAGTAGACCTTGCAAACAATGTGTGTTGCCCGTGTGGTGTTCTGGGAGCTTGACTTGCTGCATTAACTGGATGCATGAACGCATCCACGATGCACATTCTGGTGCGTCATCTCGTGCTAAGATGGCCCTTTGCTCAGCATCTTGTAGCAAGTACCGAGCCTGGCACCAAGATTGAGGCGATTCACAGTGTCTCTGTGTTTGCTGATGTCTTTTGCACCTCTGCTGCCGTGATCTTCAACTCGGCGGAGACCCGGAACGCAGAAAGCGGCGCCTCCTGCAAGGGCGAGAGGAAAGATGTTATTGGTCCAGAGTTATGGCTATACCCTAAGTGCAAACGCGCATGATCTCCCTGAAGCTGAAAGTCCTCCAACATTTTCATGAGGGGTGCATCCATCTCGGCATCGCTGGTCCTTGAGAGTTGAGAAAAACATCGCGTCAACAAATCAAACGAACTTAACTTGCAAATGCTTAGGGTCTTACAGTGGTATTCGCATGCACTCAACAAGCCATGCCACTTCGAGTCTGTGTTTGCTGAGTTACAGTAAATCCTCCAAACACTTAACTGCTTTTCCACCTCGCAGCATCATTCGCGCAGCATCGTGTTTGTGGGCACGCTTTCAATTCAGGGGATTGTAAACCCCGCACCATCGAGAGCCACATAACATACAGCATAGACTTTGCAGTAACACCGAAAAGGTCTCTACTGATTTTACTGCGGGCTTCACGTTTGAGCTCTGCGGCCTTAGTTGGGGCATAACAAAAACATGCCCCATCCCGTCCACAGCACGTGCGTGTGATTGCGTGTGTGTGTGTGTGCCCCTTGAAGTCACAGGGATCCGGTCGGATTGTGCTGATTTTGAGTTTTTCGGCAGGGAGGACCATCCATGTACTGTGCGCGATGGTCCAACGAAGCGGCCACAGTACATGCGGATATCACGGCTGATCACCGTGACGTACCTGCTTTGAGATGAACCTACGTAAGTGCCAAGCTGTCTCATTCTTTGTTGTGCAGTAAGCGTCTAATGCAGCGGCAAGTACCTCGGAATTTTCATGAGCTTGAGACCTGAACTTTGTTTCGAGAGCTTTGGAGGCCTTTGCAGGTTTGAGGATGGCTCGCTTTGCACATACTCCCCCTGGCTTCTTAGGTTTTTCACTTAGGCCGGCGTGTGGCACCGCATTCACGTCAGTACGCATTTCTATAAGTGTGTGTGTGCTCTCATGTGCGTGTGCATCAAAGTGGTGAAGAAGCTCGCAACAGGACCTTCAAGGTAGCAGTGGAGGAACTCAATAGCCCTCTTTGTAATTTCTAGCCAAGCATGAACTGTCAATTGTAGCGTACCTCCCCTGGACTGGACCCCCCCTTGGAAACTGAGGCACAGAACTTGTTCACGCAACATTGGCTCAGCACTGAAAAGCAGTGCTCATTGCATCATCTCGATCTTATTTGTAAGGATACATTTGGGTAGTTCAAGGAACTTCGCTCAGTGATTGTAAAGTCAGAAGTGCGTAGTATTCAACACACTCCGACCAAATTTTTGGTACAAGTTTTATCTAGTTTTCGTACTTGGCAATGGCATCGGCTGACAAGTTCCAGCGGCGCTCTTCGGCTAAATGAAGCTTAAATGTAAAAGTAACGAGTGTAAAAGATAAGACGGGAATCAGGAGGCTTTAAAAACAGATGAGGATTTGGAGAATAGAACAAATTAAGTCCAGATCAGATCATTTGCCCAGGTTTTGTGAAGCTACCAGACGAAAGATGCCTTGGATTGTACGTCTTGAGCCACGGCGAGCAGAGTCACTGGGCCGTTGTAGACTTCCTGCAGCTGGTCTTCAAAACAAAGAGGAGAGGGAAACTGTATGAATACGGTCGGGAGTCTAATCTAAATTAAGTATATCTTTTCTATGGTGGTGACAAAAAGAGATTAGCACGGGAACTTTTTTTGGAATCAGTGAGACAGCCGTTGCCCTCGACCTCTAAATTAATTAAATTAAAAAGAACTTGACTGACTGAGGACAAGCGTTCTGAAATGCAAGATGAGCATAGGGCTCTATGGCCAGGTTTTCCCATTCCAGATGGGGTTGCGAACAGCAAGCACTCATGTACGTGGACTGCATTCCCTTCTGACATGGATGCAGAGATGTACTGGGGAAGTGAAATGGCAAAACCCACCTCCATCATGATGTCTTACTTGTGTATGGGCATCCGTAACCCACGGAGAATGAAGGAGGACAAGTTGCACGCCATTGAGTCATTGAAGCAGTTGTCGGTAGCTCTTTGCACTTCCGTCGGCAAGGTCGAGTTGAAGATTAGGGGGCTTGGATGTCGATACGACGAGACGTTTTCAGTGGATTGCACAGGCAAAGTTTCTGGTGGACCGACAAGTGTGATGAGTGTTGAGATGGCGGAGTCACTTGAAACCTTTTGGAACCAGTGTCGCAATTCAACTGGTTTCCCATACTTAGAGTCAGTACTGGAAGACGTTCACATTTGGGAGATTTTGGCATTCTGTTTTGACCCATCAGTGAGACAAAGTGGTATGCTTGGTGCCTTTGTGGAGGCATCCTTGTCGAGCTTTGGGTTTCAACTCTTTAGTGAGTGGGCAAACAAACAGGACTGTCACGCTCGCCAAATGTGTCACCATGACCTCAAGAGTCTCAAAGAGTTGCACACAGATAAGAACCAAACTGCTCATAAGCGTGCGGTTATGTCACTACACCTTCTGTCAGCTCTTCGATTCTGGCATTCTTCGCACGAAATCTGACTGGACCTAGTAACGGTTATATTTGCATTTTTTGTGTTCCATAGTTACTGTACTGGTTGTTACGCTCAGCTCACTGTCACAGTCTCTCTCTCTCACTCGTTTACTCACTGCCTCCGATTCCAATCAATTGTTTGCCAAGGATCTGGATGAGGCTCAGGGGGAAGTATCAAGTGATGGTTCGGAAGAGTGGTTGGAGCCCAACCATGAGTATGTAGTCACCAGGGCTTTGAAGAATGACGGGGTTATGGAATCTTCACGCACTCAATTTGAAATGCGATGCTGTGTAGTCTGACAGCAATCAATCATGTTTTGCATTTAAGAAACGGCTTCCGTTTGGTGTTCATTTGCAGCTGTGGCTATTCAGCAGACATACCAATTCATTGCCTCAGGTAGTGTACTGGCTTCGTGCACAAGCAGATCTCTTGAAATCCAACGTGCTCACGGTAGGGTGACCCAGATCAGATCGTCTGCAAGGGTTAGACGGTTAGTCGCTACGTGACTCGTCTAATGTTCATTCAGTACAGTCGAACATTTCCAGAGTCTGAGAATGAATTGTCAGTAAACTGGTAAGCTGCCCAGGTCTACATCGATGGCAGCAGCTTGGGGAAGACCAAGGTGGAGCTCTTCTGGCTGTTCGACAACATCAACCAGCGTGGGTGCTATGGCCCGCCCATTGTCTGGAACCCTGGAGGGATGTTCTAGTCATTTAGTGCCGCGATCATTTGATTTGATGGCCATGCCGTGAGTAACTTAATTAGTGAGCCATGCTTCATTTGATTCCATTATTGAGAGTCCTTTTGCTGGCATGTGGAACTGATTACATTGTCCGCACCATGCTCAAGTTGTCAAACTCAGAAGTTTGGCCAGGATGGACTCTGAATTTGAGTCTAGTTTCACCATGCAATCATGTGCCAGTGACAGCGATGGCATTGGCCCCAGCCAGTCGACTGCAGTGAGCAGCTGCTCAGCATTTCCGCTGGAGGAAATAGGGGAAAGGGCTCAGAAGGTTGTTTCAATTGAGGGGCGTAGATAACAAGTTTAGGGGAAAGAGCTGTCTTTGCAACCGCATGTTAGTCTTAGTGTTCATCAGGACCTATCGCGCGATGAGTCCAGGCTTGCGAGATCTGGTCGGGCAATTCAAGTGGCGTGGTATGTCATCACCAAGAACGTGGACATCAAAGTTTGGGAGGAGAGCCTGGCCAAATTTCATGTCACGATGTGCGCCTTTTACAATTTGTGTCTTGTTTATTTTCATTTTTAAGTAAAGTTCAGGCAATGAATGATGCCTGATCACGCCAAGAGATACATTCTCGCGCTGGCAGGAGTCATTGCTCATGTCCATCACGAAGAGCTCAAGCTCCTGCTCAGGCGCAGGAACATCGGACATGACAATGACTGTCTTGGAGAAGGCCATCAACGACAGTTGCGTTCTGCAGAACAAAGTGATGTTCCAGCCAACCTCGTGTCATGATTCTCAAGCTCAGCTCTGCGAAAGTTTTACTTTATTTAGTTTTGACCGCTTTCTGTTGGCCCTGCCTAAACTCTACCATGCATAATTTTAGCATCGTGCGTTGCTGCATGAATGATGCTGATTCCCTTTTCCTGTGCCCAGGAGATCAATCCCCGCTGCCGACAGATGCTGGTCGACCACATTGTCTGGTGCGGCGAGGTCCTGGGAACATCAATCCGGACTCCATGTATCTTTGGGGATGTGGAAGGGTGCATTCCGGAGGGTGTGTACAACAAGACTGATTCCTTCATGGCCAAGTACAGGGACATTGAAAACTCAGACTTGTTGTCACACCAACACTGCTACACCCACAACAGGTATTGCCCAATCTTTGGACCAGAAGCCAACTCTGACTTTGAGACCGCAGGCCTCCCTTGTGTGGATATGTCGAGGGCTGGCAAAAGGCTGAAAGAGAATGGGCGGACTGCTTCAGTGTTCATTACCCATGCAAAACGACACTGCGAGAAGCGAACGCCAGTGATCCTACTAGAAAACGCGCAAGCAAGGTGTCTTTCAAAAAACATATATAATATACGGTTGTCCATGGTCCATTGTTTAAATTGTTGGTTCAATTCATGCATGACATGGGGACCCCATCGAATTCCCATCATCTGACTGACAGGAGCTACGATTGCAAATGATCAAGTTCCTGTACGGATCTCATTACACTTTGTACCCCTTCTTTGTGACCCCTGATGATATTGGGCACACAGCTGTCAGCAGGGCAAGAGTCTACATCATCATGGTCCACCGAGAACGTGTTGAGATGGTCATTGACCCGTACCCGCTCTACGAGAAAATCAAGGAAACTATTGCTCATCATATCCACACTAGGCCCAGGGACTACTTGATTGCATCCGAGAACGAGATCTCGATGGATGCGGCCGACGTTGCAAGAGTCAGGAAGAAACGAATGACAGTTCCTGGACAATTAATTAATGAATGTGAAAAACATCACTTTCTATCTCTTTCCAAGCTTTCATTGCACGCCAAACATTGTTTTAGTTCAGCTAGGTATAGCTAGGTTGTTTTTACAGATCAGAATCAGAAAGACTCTGAACCGCCTTCACTGAGGCTCCAAGCCTACAATCCAGCATCCTCACGTCACTTCTCCTGCAACGAGAGAAAGGAGTTGTGA